CGCCACGAAAAACCCATAAGAATCGTCGCCCTACATCCCCTCTTCGTATAGGTCTCAAAGGGCATTCCTGCTTCCCCGGCCTCACCGGGAAAACTAAGTTCCGCAATTCCGGGAGTTGGTATTACCGAGGATGAACGACGCAAAGATCCTCCGCGAACGTTGGAGGGCTCCCACTGTACCAACGAGACGCGTCAAAACGACGCTTCCGTGAAGGTGTCACGAAACCTCAACCTGGTCATCGACGGACACGACGCGACAACGCTCATCGACACCGGAGCAGACTGTTATGTTCTGAGTGGGGAGCACTCTCGCCGCCATCGGAAAGTGATGACGCAGTGGGATGGTTCACGAATTCGAGCCGCGGGAGGACATTTCTCATCACGCCAGTATAGGGAGGTGCACGGCTCGCGTCGAGAACCACGGTGAGACGTGCCCAGTTAAATGTGTTGTCCTCAATGAGTGTGCGATGAACGTCATTATCTAAATGGACTCTCCGTCTGATTACGGCGCCGTCATCGACTGGGAGCAAACAAGTTTACGCTCCGATCTCGAAACGACGTCAGCCGCTGTCCGGGCCATCGCCGATTACGTGAACATGCCGCAGCGATCAAGAGTTGCCATAATTCAGACGATCCCGCAGTTTAATGGAAACGGTCATTTGAGTTAGTTTTGGGTTTATTTATTTAAAGAAACACTGACACCCCCCCCCCCCCCCAAAAAAAAAAAAAAATTCATTTTTTGTCAGGCGATTTATTATGGTTGTCGGAAGACTACCCAATTAATATTTTGCAACACAGTCACGTGTATTTTTTGTTAAAGTCAAAAAACGCAACTGCTCGAAACCGAAACTGAAACCCGGGCACGGAGGTCAGAGAAGTGGAGAGAGAGTGGCGGAAGTCACGTGGCTATACCCGACCGCGCGCTTTTTTTTTTGTCCTCCATTGCTTTCTTTTTTTTTTTTTTTTTTTGTGCGCAGCAGACGACTTACGTGGCGGGAACTGTTTGCTGTGCGATTCTGTTGCAGTTATGTTTGTTCCGCTCGCTTTTCTCTACTTCAAGATGAGTTGTTTTGTACATTGAGGAGTTGGCGATGAGTAGTGAGTGCCCGCGGTGAATTTCCGTGATCGGCTCCAAAAAGAATACCCCCAAGATGTGGCGTGAAGAGCTGGCTTACATGTCCTGCGTCCGAAAAAAGTGGCATTGTGCGGGAGTCTGCTCAAGTTTCCGAAAAATCAACGGGATCGGGACCAATGGCTGGCTGCAATTCCTGTAGAACATTTACGGGCACTTCGGAAAGCGGAGGCTACCCAGTTTATATGCTCCTTGCATTTTGTGGAAAGTGATTACATTGAGTTCGCAGATGTCAAAAAGGAAACCCCATGCCATTTAGATCAGCGACGTTTCGTCCACAACATTTTCTTTTTTTCAGTGATAATTGTAAAAAAAAAAAAAAAAAAAGATGTAAATATCGCAAAGTGTTTGCAAAAAAAAACAAAAAAAAAAAAAAAACGGTACGCCCATTGGGGATCGCACCCGGTTCCGCCGCGAGTGAAGCGGACATCTTCCCACTGCGCTACCGGGGAAACTTTTAATTGTGAAAATGCAGCCGGTCAAGTGTAAGTCGGAAAGTTTGCTGCCGGTTTTTTTCTAGCAAAGGCACTCCCGGGTCGAAGTCGGGCAGCACCACGCATTGGCCACATTCGCACTTAGTAAAGAAATCGTACGCTTGCATATTCAACTCGAAGTACGCACTTCGTGCTTGACGTTTGCGCGAGTGATGTCTTCAGCCACGAGAATGGGGCGACGACTCGGCGACGTCTTCGTGCAAATCGGCTTGGTGGTCGGGCATGTCGTACGGGGTGAATACCAATTCTTTTGATCGGTCCCAAATTTCTCTTTTAAAGGCAGACATAATTCGCCGGCACCGCGAACGACAGTTCTAAAGCAGAGGCCCGTCGTCCGCTGCCATCGCCATCCCCGCGAGTCCCACGATACGCGAGAGAGAGAGAGAGAGAACATGTATTTATTTAATGAAAGGTTCACTCGTCTATGGGTTGGTATCCCTGAGGCGAGAGGGAAAAGGAATGTAGGGATTTATAGGAAAGGGTAAGTGACAATGAATAAATTTAGATGAAGTGATGGACCCCAGAGTCCCTGATGTATCTGATCAGGGAGTCCAGGATTTCTTTTCTGTGCTGCGGCTGTCCCTTGGGGTGGGTCCAGTCTTCAAGGTTCGTGGGCCTTTTCTCGCTAGGTAGCGAGTCCCATGACTCTACTCTAAAGTCTTCCAGGCCTTTGCATTCCCAGAGCACGTGTTTGGTCGTTGCCATGGATCCCTCTGTGCATGTCTTGCACGTTGGGTCCTCGTGGTCCTTCAGTCCGAAGGATGCTTTTTTCGCCGGCGTTAGTGCCGTCCCTGTCCTGATTCGCCGTAGCCAAACCGTCTCCCATCTCGTGTACCCTAGTGGTATCGGGTCTTCCTCTGTTAGCAGAAGACCCTTCAGGTACAGTTTCCTCCCTTCTTTGGCTTGCTCGGCCATTTCATCTGGGTCTATTGACATTTCATTCGTCGTTTCGACTCGAGAGGTAAGGCCTGGCGCGGAGCTGGTGCTGCTAGCTGCCTCCGCTGCGGCCTGGTGAGCCCTCTCGTTCCCCGGGATATCGTTGTGTCCGGGTAGCCACTCGATCGTTATGTTGGAATCCATCTTCCTGAGCTCCTCCGCAATATTCTTGATCTTCTTGACCGTTCTGCTTCTCGTTCTGCAGCTGCGGCAAGCTTTCAGTGCCGTCTGAGAGTCTGTGAAGATCCAGGCCCTGTTACCTGGGTCGATTCTTTCACGGATATCTTTGGCTGCGGCTAAAATTGCACGCAGTTCAGCCTCTTTAACCGAGGTCTGCGTTGGAAGCTTCTCTGACCAGGTCCTGTCCCTCGCAATGTCGACAAAGGCTGCTGCGGCAGCCCCGTCGTCCTTCGCGGCATCCGTGTACCTTATTTCCTTACATTCAGTGTTCTCCGCGAGCCACTGGACGTGTTTCTTGGCTGCGAATTTTCTCTGTTTAGTTCCTTGTCCCTTGAATGTTGGCTTGTGATCAGTTACGCCTATGTCTTGCCATGGTGGGGAAGCCTCCTCGATCGGGGGCCTACCTTCCGTGGAGTATCCTAGGATTTCCAATAGTCTTCGCCCATGTTTAGTCCTTTCGAGGCGTTGAAAGTGTGCGATTTGTTGTGACTCTGCTTTCTCCTCTATCTTGTTCATTCTTGCATATTTCCTTAGTTCGTCGAGGGGTGTGTATCTCGGTAGTCCAGTTACCACTCTCATGGTTTGATTGTTCAGCCTTTCAATCTGCTTCCACTGAGCCTTGGTGAGGTTCATCCAGTTGCAGCAGTAGAGCGCTCTGGATGTGAGGAGGGCTTCTGCCATGGTCCGGATTGCTTTTTCGTCCGCCCCCCACGATTTACTCGTTGTCCTACAAATCAATTTCAGGGCCTGGTCCCATACCTTCCTCAGCTCGGGTAGCCATTTGGTACTCCCAGCTGTTTCTTCAAATGTAACTCCAAGGATTTTTATGCTCGGACGCCGTTCTAGTTCTTTTCCCATGAGTTGAAGTTGCACTTGCTGTGCAATCCCTTTTCTGTGGTCCTTTGGTCTCGCAACGACCATGTATTGGGTTTTTTCAGGGGACGGCTCCATCCCGACTTCCTCCAAGTACTTTGCAACTTCGTCGATGCCCCGTTGCATAGTGAACTCCTGGTCTCCCAGCGAGCCTCCTTTGGTCCACAATGTGACATCATCCGCGTATATTGTGAACCCGAGGTTTTCAATGCGTCGCAGTCTCGTTGGTAAATCTGCCATTACCATGTTAAATAATGTGGGCGATATCACTGCCCCCTGTGGTACGCCTCTGCTGTTGAGTGTCTCCGGGCCCATTGTGTTCCCGATTTTCACCTTAAACCTTCTATTGGCCAGAAAGTCTTTGATGAATTTTAGTGCTCTGCCCCTTAGTCCACATCTCTTAGCTCCTTCTTTCACCGCCCAATGCGGAACGGCATCAAAGGCTTGTTTTATGTCAAGCGCAACTACAAGTCTTGGATCTATGCTCTTCTTGTCTGCCATCACGTCTTCGTATAGCAGCTTGAGACTGTCTGGTGTTCCCATGGCTTCTCTGAATCCTGTTTGCCTCGGGTCCAGCCTGTCGTAGGTCTCGAGGTACCATTGTACCCTCTGCAGGACCATTTTCTCCAAGACTTTGCAGATGCTGGACGTTATGAAACTGGTCTGAAATTTTCGATTCTATCCTGCGTCTTTCCGGGTTTAGGTATTGGTGTCACCCAAGAGATCTTCCAGGAGTCGGGGATCTTTCCTTTCTTCCATGTTTCGTTATATTTCTTCAATAGCGCTTCTTTGGCCTCGCCTGGGAGGTTACTAAGAGCCGTATATGTTATCCCGTCGGGTCCGGGTGCGCTTCCTTGTTTGGCTGAGTGGATGGCCTCAAGCAGCTCCCCCATGTTGAAAGGTTCGTCCATTCCCGGTTCTTTTGGTGGTTTTGCAGCCCAGCTCTTTGAGCGTTTTTTGCCTCCCTGTTTTGCCGCCGTGATGTGCGGGAAAAATATCTGACTTGCTTTTACCGCCAGCTCCTCCTCCGTCATTTTCAGGCGAAGCGCAAGGTTCTGTGCTGCGTTCCGGCTCTTGCGTTTGTTCTTGTTCATCCCCCTGTAGGTCCGCCAGGCCTTTCCGAGTCCGGTACGTGCGTTGAATGATGCGCAGTGGCTTCTCCATTTATGCCGGCATAGCTCTTTGGAGTATTTCATAGCCATGGCAGTCGCTTTGTTGAGCTTGATCTTATGCGCCGTCGCCCTGCTTCTCCTGAATCTTGTTAACGCTTGTAGTCTACTGGCCCATAGGTTCAGAAGGTGGGTGTCCGGTGTCGGATCACCTTGTTTGACATTAACGTGGGTTCTTGCCTCCTTCATCGCCTTGCATATGCTTTCCTCGATGTCTTCGTGCCGCTCCAGGCTGCTTAGAATTAGCTCCCGGAATCCGTCCCATTTTATGATCGGTCGAAGCTCCTTATCTTTCCGCCCACTTGGGTGTGTGACTGTGACCTCGATGGGGTAGTGGTCGCTGCCCTGTGTGTCCCTCCTTGGTGTCCATTGGGTGTCGAGGCGCTTTGTGGCCCACGTGAGATCTGGTGTAGTGTCCTTCTGGCGTTGTTGTTTGGCTAGTCGCGTCTTGACCCCTTGTTCATTGCGGAGTTCAAGCCCGGCTGTTTGCATGGCTGCGATGATGTCTCGGCCTTTCTTTGTGTTGGTGTCGTATCCCCATTCGCGGTGTTGTGCATTAAAGTCCCCTCCGACAATCAGTGGGTCTCCATCCGCCAGCCCGGATAGCTTTCGGATCCATTCTGCCGTCTCTCCATTTTTTAGGGTGGTATTGGGCTTTATGTAGACAGATGCCACCACCAGTTTAAGTTTACCTCGCTTTAGTCGGACAGCAACTACCTCCCTCTTGTCCGAGCAGAGTGCAGTGGTGTCTAGCTGCGTCTGTGGTATGTTTTGGAGTACGCAAACTGCCACCCATCCTTTCTTTTCAATGGGATTCTTCTCCCTGCAGCTTGGCTTAGATTTGATGGTCGGAGTTAGGTAAACGTTGAAGCCGGTGATTGCCATGTCCGGTGTTTTAGTCTCCTGCAGCAGCAGAATTTCTGGTGGCGCATTTCTTTCGAAGCGGAGCTTGAGCTCCGCTGCCCTTGCCGAGAACCTGTTGCAATTCCACTGTAGGATCCGTGTCGGTGCCATCTTGGTCTGTCCGGGTTCGTTAGTTCTATCTGCTATGCTTGAGTTCAGCAATTTCCTTTTTAATCTCTCCGAGTACTTGGAATACCATATTAAATCCCATTTCCACGTCTTTCTCGAATTTGGCGATTTTGGATTCTTGCTTCTCGAACCTTGCTTCGAGTGCTTGTACTTCCTTCCTCCAGTCTGGTAGTTCGGTGGACTTAGCCTTCGTGCGCTGGGCCCATTCTGGGATCCAGTTTGGGGCTGCCATCTTCTCATTGGAGTCAACTGTTGGCTTTCCTGGGTTGGGAGGAATTCGAATGACCTCCTGCTCTGTGTTTTGTTGGCCGCGAAGTTGGGCCGGTGAGGTGGCAGTTGCTTTGGCTGCTGCCGCGTAACTTTCTCTCAGTAGCTTCGGCTGTGGTGGCTTTGCGGGCTGCTTCTTTTCTGAGATCTTCCTCTTGGGACAATTGTTGCTGGTTGCCACGTGGGCCCCACCGCAGTTCTTACACTGTGGATCCCTTGTGCACTCCTCCATCTCTTCTTCGTGGATGTGCCCGCATTGGTCGCATCTGCTCTCTTTGCTTGGGCATACGTCCGTTTTGTGCCCAATGTTGTGACAATTGAAGCAGACTATTGGTCTTGGACGGTACGGTTTCACGGTGAACACTTCGCGGCAGAACATGACTTTCGCTGGCAGCCAAGTTCCCTCAAAAGTGATCACCACAGCGTTGCCTTTCTTGCCCATAAGGCGGGCGTGGACTACTTTGGCCGTTCTGCATTCCAAATCCGGTAGTAGCGTTTCGGGTGTCTCGTCGCTGTTATCACCGTGCAAGTAGATGACACCGCGTACTTGGTCGTTCCCCATTGCCTTGTATGGGCTTAAGGCGTACGAGTCTTCGCCTTTCGTGATCTCAGTGACTTTTAGGAGATTTTGGATTATCTCTTCGTTCCGCGTTTTTAGCGCAATGGTGTTCGTCTTCGGCTGAATTTGAATTTTGTAGTCATCACGACTGGCGATTCCCGTCTTTTCCACCGCTGTTTTTATATCTCGGGTCTTGAAGTCCTTGACATTCTTTTTGCATATCGCTTTTAGTACCACTGTCTGGGTTGACGTGGGAGTTTCCCGCCTATCTTCCTCAGATGATGTTCTCGGTTTTTGGACTGTCGAACACCGGCGTTTTCGTCGGCGTTTACTTATATACATTTCAAACCCTTCGTTTCGGGGTTCTCCTCCACGGGGGCGGTTCCTAAGCTGTTAGGCTTAGCTTGTCGTTCTTCTGAAGTTGGATTTTCTGGTTTATGTAATTTCTGTAGTGGTGGAAATTGGGAAGTATCTTGAGAACTCACCTCTTCGGATTCCATGGCGTCCCTTTGCTGGCTTGCCATCCAGCCTGGGGTCAACGTCCCTTGTATGTAGCTGTGCAAGAGTGTGGTTATTAATTTGCCGATATCCTCTTTGGTGATTCCCAATTTTCCGAGGAGTCCAGCGTCAAGCTCGATGGCTGTGGTACTGGCGGGTTCAAGCTGCTGCTGCGCTTTTACTTCGGCTTGTTGACCGCGCGTTCCCGAAGTCAGGGCTGCTGCGGTGTCCATCTTTTCTGGCTCCAAACTCGTCGAAATGACTCCGTCGGTTGCAAAATCAGCGGGCGGAGCGTCGTCGAAGGTCCTTGGTGATTCGCGACACCTTCATAAACGTGGCGCTGTTTTGGGGGTGTCGGGACCCCCTAACGATGCCACGGAGTGTCCAGGTTTGATCTTCAAGGTAGTTGGAAGTCCAAAAGCTATAGAAAGCGCCAAACATAGAAAATTATCAGGAGCCGAAAATTCCGTGTTTTTTTGCCAGGGCACTTCGTCGTCGTCCCACGATACGCGAAACGACGCCATGTTGAGAATTACGCAGTGAACGAACGCACAGAATGCTTCCGGTTCTCTGTGCAACTTTTTTTTTTTTTCAATCAACGTATTTGAAGCTGTTTAGAAGCCAGAAAAGAAATGGGTTTCATATTTTTTTTTTATTTTTAATACTGACGTTGAGCCTTCAACGACCAACGACTTGGACTGAATTTGGTGCTTGTGTCTAAAATCTAGAAAACGTCCCGTGACCACGGAAGAGAGTGAGCGAGACTCAAACCGGGCAGTTCTTGATCGTCAGTTTTCGGGTGGAAAGGAACCGAATTTCGAGCCGCAAATTGTGATCTGGGTAGTCGGGCTCTCATATGTCATGTACAACTAAAAACAGACCTCGGCGAGCATAAATACCCTGTCAGTGTCCCTTTGAGGTTGCATCGGGACGTTGCGCTTTTAAGGGGGGGGGGGGGGGGGGGGGGGGGGGCGCCGCGTGCATAACCGAGAAAGAACGTTTCTCCGTACTTCTGAGATTCCAGTTTAAGCCACGGTCACACACTGGCAACCGAGTAGAACCGACCGAGAGGCTTGCAACCGAGTAATGCCGACTGAGACGAGACCGGTTTGTCAGCTTCTTGCGGCGGCTTAGGACCTGCTCCGCAGCAGCGCATCTGGTCTTACGCCGCCTCAAAGGCTTAAGCACTGGTCTTGTCTTTCGGACGTACTTGGTTGCAAGTGTGTGAAGGGGCCTTTAGGTCCAGCGCCGCAGCAGCGCATCCGGTCCTAAGACGTCGCAAGAGGCTCAAAATCCGGTCTTGTCTCAGTCGCTCCAACTCGGTTGCAAGTGTGTGAACAGATAGGGAGGCCAGAATGACCTTGCCGAGTCCGTCTCGCCCTAGCTCCCGAACATTCCAGGTCCAATTTTCGAGATACCAAGTGTAGTAAATAAGGCACCTAGCGCGGCCTTGCCGACTCACTCAGACTATCCGCACGACGACGCACTCTCGCTCGCAGTCTCGCCCAAAACATCTGACATTTTAAGCTCGTCGAGCCTTTTCCATCTGTGACCATAGGCGTAAACTACGGGGGAGCATCGGGGCTCGTGCCCCCCCCCCCCCCCCCCCCCCGGGCCCGGGCCATGATCCTTACCGAGACGCTGTTTACTTGCCATGCAACGAGTTTCTAGTAGTGGCATGTAAACAAAATAATGCCCACGTTGCCGTGATTATTAAAATACATGAAAAATGGAATCCCAGCGTGCTTCCGGGGAGGGGGGTGCTTTTCCGCTTGCGCGGAAAAGCCCCCCCCCCCCCCCCCCCCCCCGGGAAGATGAAAAGTCTACGCCGCTGTGTCTTACAATATATAAACAGAGGAGAAATGGCTTGCAAAAAGATATCATTGGGATCCGAGATATATGTGGTGTAATCAAGCAACGTAATGTAGTGTCCGATATGTTTGTTTTGTGCGACTGCGTACGAAGTGTCAGAACTCGTCAGGGCGACTGGTTACATTCTGCTGAACAAATGTATGATAGGCCTCTCGGTCGCGACATATAAGACATTTGGCCAGGCCTCTGTATTGTCGATATTTTGCGCACGCAACACCGGCATGTGGTCATTCTGACAACCTGTATGCTCGTTGAAGTTTAAACGAAAACCATATATAATATTTCTTCGAACGGCATAGCTTCTTGGGAATATATTGTGTCATACCATCAGTGACAATATCAGTTCGTTCGGCAACGGCGATGTCAACAGAGGCAGCGTTGAAAACACTGTCCCAGCTGCTAGCCTTGAGAAACTGATAGAGACCAAGATAGTCGCCTCTGCAGTAGTAAAATCTATAAACTGATATGTGCTGTACGAAAATACAAAAGCTGTATTTTTTTTTCTGTTTTTTTTTTTTTTTTTGGGTGGGGGGTGTTTATGACGAAATGCTGTATGAGGGGGAGGGGGAAAAGGAGGCTCCAGCTAAATGGAAGATTTCAGGGGCGGGGGGGCATGGCTTCATGCCATCCCCCCTGGGCCTGGCTGTACGAGAGCTTTAGAAAATTTGAAAGGAACTCTAAACGGGGTATGCTATAGACCGACACGCTGTTTACTAACAAGCCGGCGTTTGCCCACACAGAAGTGGGCACTGCGCGTGCGCAGAATTCGAATTTGTTTGAAGTGAAGCGTCTGCGCATGCGCAGCGCCGTCGACACCGCCACCGCAGGTGTTGGTCTATATGTCAACAGAAACGAGTGGAACGTAACGGCGCAAGTGAGCTGGTGTATATAAAAAAATTAGTCGTTTATACAGCAGGAGTTTAGTCTGCCAGAAAATGGCGACATTGTTACCCACTACTGTAGATAAGCAATTTAACCAGTGCAGTACGACTGCTGTCCTGGGGTCTTTAACGTGCACCACGCAGTAGTTATACACGACCGCACGCCGGTACAATGCTTATCCAGATCGAAACGGGCAGGGGTGGGGATTGAACCCAGGATCCCTGGGTTCTGCAGCGCGAGCTTTCGCTCCACGTGCTCCGAGCTGGTGTGCGCTAGACCACTCGGCCACCGATCCCTCCTGTATATCAAACATTTTAGTGGAAAACCCGAGACTGAGGTTCTGACAGACGACGACAAGGAAGTGAAGGAGAACGTCTCCTTCTCTTCCTTGTCGTCGTCTGTCAGAACCTCAGTCTCATGTTTTCCACTAAAATGTTTGAGACACGAGTGGCTCGGTGACTGGTGTAATTGAATATTCATCTATGTTGGTAAAAATGCATCCAACAAATTACCACATGCATTCGCCGGCAAACCACCTAGCTCGAAGCCATTAAAACGAAAGAAGGTAACGAGGTACATCGCCTTACTTGGGCCACTAGGTGTGTCTTCCCGCCGAATTCAGAAACCTCACTCAAACTACACTCAAACTGAAGGGCCCCTCCACTTCCTCGAGGAAGGCGCGAGGGCCGGCGCTGGCCAATCGCGAGGACGGATCCGCCGTCGCGATTGGCCAGCGCCGGCCCTCGCGCCTTCAGTTTGAGTGTAGTTTGAGGTTTCTGAATTCGGCGGTTACAGTCCCCACCGTGTTCTAGGAACATTGAAATCTAAATAAATAACGAATTAATTATTTTTCAATGTTAAGCTTGCTTGAATGTTAAGATATACGGGTTTTGTGGTACCCTTA